TACAGATCTAGTTGGATTGTGGCTGAGAAAGTCATCACACGGGAAAATCTTCAATACTCTCTGAGTTCTAGACAGAATGACTGGACCAACAGGTTTCTGAATCCAGTTCTCTGTCGTGATTTTTCTCCTGAGGGGCTCAGTCACAGAAAACTGTCTTGTTATAACCAATCTTGTCTTAACTTGCTCTTTGGCATGATTTTTCCTTTTGGGAGAAATAAAATGGTAATAAATAAATAAATAAATATTATCTGAAGACTGTCAATAATAAGACCTGAAAAAGTAGACTAATTGGTTCCCTTAATTCAGTTTCTGAGCTGTGAAATAGGCCTAAACTAACCATCAAATTGGCTACCAAGATAATACTTCTACCTCTAGATCTATGACACTCTAGCTTTGTAGCACTAATTCAGTGTCCTGTATTATTACTCTAACATCTTTTGATCTCTGTCTCTAGATCTGTGTCCCTAACTCAGCATCCTGTGTTATTACAAAACCCCCCAATAGTCTGCCTCCCTCTGACCTAAATGTCCTCAAGTGTACACTCCACATTGCTTCCACGTTTGGCTTTCCATTACCCTTCACTGGAGAGATGAGAATGATTCTCAAAACATCTGAAGGGCCTTCACTTAGTCTCAGATCAAGTTAGCTGGGATTCAAACTCAGGTCTTTCCAGATAAAAAGCACCTGTTATTTTAAGAAGAACAGTCCTATGTTCTAACATCATAAATAGAAAAGACTCTTAATTTACCTTCAAAATTAACACTTCTGAAACTTCATATTAAAAATTCTGATGTGATGAAGTACAAAGACATGTTGAGTGTTTAGAACATGGAGTTACTAAGCTCTGGGCAAGTCATTTAACCCCTCTGAATTTCAGTCTATTATAAAAAGTAGAAAAAATAAAGCCTGCCTTGCTAATTTGTGAAGATTAATGAGATAAAGTTAACTTCTTTGTTTCATTCCTTCCGGGAGTTTGGATGAGCGGCACTCTGGTGCCATAAAACCCGCTGCTCAGAAGTACCGTCCTCCATATATTACAAGTGAGAATGCCTCTTGAGTAGAATGCCAGAAGTACTTTAGGGTATAAACAGCCACCAACCGGAGGGTTAAAGGTTACTTATCATATTCTCATGGGCAAATTATTGTAATCACGTGAATATCTCCGAATGGAATGTTTTATAATGAACAAGAAGAGGATAATTGGGAGACTGGGTTCCTGGTGGAGGGGAAACTGATTTCTTTGGGACTAACATCTGGGTGTTTTGTGTTGGTCGTGAAGGAGAGAAGAGAGAGTGAAAGAGAGGATTTCATGGAGAAATCTGATAGGACCAGGACAGGGCTCTGCCTACATTGCATTTGTCCAGGGCTTGGGGGGTGACCAGCACCATCAGAGCTGTGCACGCTGCCCTTAGCCCCCTCTCTGCACAGCAGCCACCCCCTGGTTGTAATGGCAGTGGAAGGGGGACAGGGACTGCTTTCTCTCAATGATGTTCTCTGTACAAACTGGTTCAGGGACCTGCTGTCCACACTCTCGACTTCAAGTCAGTGTTCGCCTCTCTCCTCTCCTTTCCCCTTGCAGGATATTTGGTCCTGCCCCAAACATCTATAAGACACTTGGTTCATGCCAGTAGGCCCTTGATATTTATTTGGTCCTATCCAAAATGTCCATAAGACATTTGATCCATTTGCTTGATAAATAGTGGTACCCAAAACACTAATTTCTCACATGCTATTTTAATTGTGATTGTTTGGGCTGAAGTGTTCTCATGAAGGAAGCCAGACTCAATGTGAGTTTTTTTGTCCTGTTCCTAGGACATTTATTTTGTCCTGTTCCTAGGACCATAGTGGTTACACCTGGAGGAGATCTCTAGTTCAACTTCCCATTTTACAGGCAGCAAGGAAACTCTTGACCATGGAATGAAGTGAATGGTTCTGGACAGATCACGTCCATAGTCCAGATCTGCTGGCCTTTCCCATATACCAGTGACCTTCCTTATATGATGCTGCTATGTTGATGGGGCTTCAAGACCAATAACTTTTCTGTCATGAAAATAGCCAGGTTGGATATGCTAAAACTTTATTTCAGTTTCCATTTGGCAAGAGTTGTGAAAATCTTAACTGAAACGGTACTATTAAACAAGGCTCCAACTCTCTCCATCCAACAAATTTGAAGCTATTTCATTAGGGCTACTACTGAACTTATTCAGGAAACCTAATCAGCAATAAAGAACCTGACTGATCAGTGGAATATGAGTTTTACTGCTGTGTGGAGACATGGTTTTATGGTGCTGTCAGGGAAAATCAGATCTAATTGGGAAATCCTCCCTGCATCATTTCTGCTGTCCATTAAGGCGCCAAGCCAGAGACTGCTTCCTCTCAGACTCAGTCTGATTTTTAAACCTTTCCTGGATTTCTTGTTTCCCTTAGATCCTACATCTGACATAAACCTAATGCATCTAGCATATTTTTTGGCTCCCTAACAGTTCCTGAGAAATTCCGTTCTTTATTTTATTTTTTTGGCTGAAGGTTGTGAAAAGATAAAAAATGGGGTGGGGAGAGACATTTATACCATGTATTTTAGATTGCTGATTCACATTGCTAGGCTGGGTCCATACATGTAGAAGGAAGGGAGACATCAGTCAATAATTCAACACTAAAAATGTAATCCTATCTCAGTTACATGATGCTTTAGCCAGAGTAGATCTGACTCGTAGATGAGGACTCCCACTGTTCCTCGTCCTGAGAGCCTGCAAGTTGTTGATGAAGCCTCCACTGTGGACATGGGGCATTACTGCTGCAGCCATGAAATGAGTGGGAGGAAACATAGGAAAACAGGTCCATTTCCCACACTCTGTCCTCTGTGTGTTCACATCGAAGTGGGTCTCATATCAAAGTGTATGTGCTCCTGAGAAGGGCAGGATTATCAAAATGTCCCTTTCCTCTGGCATGCTACATCCTCAGATGGCTTCTTTTGTGCCTCCTCCAAGTCCAGTCACTCTCACACCAGTGGATCAGAAGATTAGGCTCATTTCTTTTGGAACCCGTTGTTTCCCGCTGTGTCGACATATGCTACGTACGCTATGCTGCATTTTACGGTCTATTTTACATCAAGATATTTCTAAACATTTATGCCCTGATTCATATGTTTTGTGTTGGAAAAGTATGATGGCTGCATCGTGTTGATGGAAATCATTGCTAAGAGGCACAAAACCTGATTTCAAATTTTGGACGATAAATCTGACCATCTAATTAGCCTTGGACAATGCAAAAATCTTTGGGTAGGAAAGTAATGTTTTATTCTGATGTGGAGCAGCTGAACATGTTTTATAATCAAGTGGGAACAAAAGAGAGACTTCCAAGTGCGTCCGGAAAAGAAGCAGATTTTTTTTACACAATCAGACTCCAAGGAGAACCTCCCAGAACAGACATGGTCATCCCCAGAGATTTTGAAGTTACTCGCAGCAGCCAGGTGGAAAACAGGGCTTCTTATTTGGGAAATGCACTTAAACACCTTCTGATGTAAGAAACAGGCAAGGACATTTCTCCCAATCTGACACATACGCTTGGAAGCGGCAAAGGGACCTCTGCAAAATGCAGGTGATGGGAGTCAAATCCGAATGAAATACCAGGTCTGGGAAAACAAAGCCAAGAACTGAAACATTCGGGAAATGGAAAGTGCCCATGCAGATCCTTCATGAAGTTAGAACTGACTATTAAAATTAGAGCTGAATGGAGATAAACCAAATGCTTTGTAAGATTTTTGATATGTGATTTAAAAATTAAAAATTTTTTTATATTACAGTATAAAAGGGACAATAAAAGCAATAAAAGAACATTTTCCTCCTCAGTAGAATCACACCAGACTTTTTTTTAAAAAATAAAAACCACTATCAAATTAAACAGCAAAGCAAAGCAAGTAGGATTGAGAACTATCATCTTAGGAGGTAGAATTTTTAAGCTAGACATTAGTAGTATGAAAATAAATTGGAAAATAAAGCAAGTGGTTCTGAAAAGCCCTTTCTGGGGTTGCAAGAACTTAACTCCAGTTTCAGCTCTACTAAAGAAGTTATTTTGTGATCTTTGTCATATCATTTAATTTTTTTAAGTCCAAGTTTCCTTATCTACAAAATGAGGATATTAGACCCAGTGCCTTCCAGCTCTAGTATTTCTCTGATTTTTGAGATGTTAAATCAAACAAATATTGGCTCAAATTTAAGGAATCTGATATAAAATTTTTTTAGGAGAATGGGGTAGGAAGGTTGGCCTAAACTATTCAGAAATCTGCCTTCATATTTACACATCATTTTTAAAGTGTAAATTAAAAACTCATGAAGAGTAAGAAGTTGTTAGAAATTATTTAACTCATTAAATTCACACTAATTATGAATTAATGTGTGCTGGTGTAAATGAACTACCAGCTGAACAAATACCCCACATGTTTACAAATATTAAATGGTGGAAATATTTCTTCAAACAGACTAAAGAAGAATCAAAAGAATATCTAAAACTAAGTGGATAATGCTATAGTTTCTGCAGTCTCTCAGTCTTAGTACAGAACAAAGGACTTATGGTGAGGAATGTGTCCTCAAAGATAACCTAAATTTAAAGCAAAGTTTACCAAAGAGATGGAGGAACTACAAAGCAAGATTTTTTTAAAGTTCAGTAGAAATGTCCTCATTATTAACTTCTCTGACACTGATAGTATTCACGTCACCTCAAACCCTTGACTTGAATATGTGCTTGATTAGTACATACTAGAAACATTGATACTAAATGACTTTCCACCTGAGGCTTTTTATTTTCCCTCTTCAGTGAACCGGTCTGTAAATATGTGGATGTGGGAGCTGTTTTGCTAGGTCTTTGCTTCTTCCTCTGACTCAGCAAATACAGTTTAACTTTAAATGTGTCCTTACACATTTTTATTAAGCATATGAAAATCTTCCTGGCACAGTTTTCTGACCAGGAGAAGCACTTTTTCTTTAATTCTGATTTTTTTTTTTTCTCCCATTTGAAGGGAGATTCATAGGTGTAGCAGCGCTGGACTTTCTTTGCCCCCGGTGGAGCAGCTTATCTGACTGGTGAGTTTGGAGAGATCTAGAATTTCTCTTGAAAAGAAGCTTGGCTACAGAAGGCATACCTTTAACTCTGTTCCTTCAAGCTTCCAGTGTTCTGGGGGTTGCCTGTGCCGGATGGATAAGTCTGTTTAAAACTGTAATTCAGTTTTAGGAGCCCCACTTTCCTCCTGAGTTAAGCCATATCCTTCAGCCTAAACTGTGCACAATAAAGGCAAAAATTTGGTCCCCACCTACCTTACTCTTTTGTATTATTTCTTAGTTGGTTAAGAAGACAGTAGATTTTTTTTTTTAATTGGATCCCCTTAATTATTCCTTAAAGTATCTATATACTCCTTTGTGAAAAATTGGAAAATAAGAAAGATGAAAAAGTCTTAGTAGATATCCAGTTGTCTAATCTTTATGGCCATGTTGTGAATACAGACTAACACTCCAGATGAATTTTGAAGGATTAAGAAAGGACACCTACTTCTCTATTGACTGTCCTCGTATAATGCAGTTTGGTAAATAGGAACTATGGAATCAGCCAGACTTGAGTTTAAATACTGACACTATAACTTAACAACTGTACAGTGTTGGAGATTCCTCTTAATCTGAACTTCAATTTTTTTCAACAGTAAAATGAGAAGAATAATAACCACTCCATAATTAAATAAATGTATATGAGGAGATCAATAAATATTAGTCCAAATTTCTCCTCCTACAGATACTCCTTTTCATCAAATAAATTGTATAAAATTTATTTATGAACTGTATGATCATATTTTGGAAAATATTTTCTAATGAAAGCATTCTTGGGAATGATATATAATATGACAAATATAAAAACAGGAAAATATTTACATGAAGCATGTATTACAGAAAATATAAGTTTGTCTAATTGAAGGAGTTATCATGCTTTTTTGTAAAATTTGCAAGGCAAAAATAAAAATCATCTCCAAACTTAATTCTTGTGGAAAAAAGTTGATTGGAATAATGCTTTCAAGTGCACAGCTCTTTGATGTTCAAAGTCTCCTTACAATTAAAGAGTGTCCTTTCTCCTTTCTGTAACCAATCTTGTTCATTAGAATATCTTGAATGATTTGAGTTCCCCTGAAAGGACTGCCGAGATGATCTGGAACAATCCTAAAAAATCTCTAGTCCCAAAAAAAAGAAAACTCTAGTCCCTCAGAAGAGCTAGTTTCCCGTGGGAAACTTGATCCCTTCTATTCACCTAAATTCAGACATGCTCAACTTTGTTGTGCATCAAAAACACCTATGAATATTTCTTCAAAATACATACCACCAGAGATTCTGATTCAGACATTCTGGGATAGGCTATGAGTATGAATAATTTTTTTTAAATTCTCTACAGAGAATTATGAGAAATAAAATTTGAGAACCACTGCTGGAAGTTTTTCAGGTCCTATTGGGTAAACTCAAGTCCAGGAGAATCCCACAGTGATCATCAAATAGCATCCTGAGTTCTTGGAGGAACCCAGAACTAATCTTATTTGACTAATTTCTATAGGATATATGCCAAGGCTCACTGCCATCTCTGCAAATTATGGGGTACACCAGGCTAGATTTTCCCTATCTAGTATCCAAGAGACTAATCCAGAACTAACTTTTTTTTCCCTGGTATGTAAAGAGTAACACAACTGCAATTTGACTTGATTAACTTATTTGATTCCATCAGTCACCATTGCTATTAAATTTTTTCCTGAAACTTCTCAGCAAAATGTTAAATGGAACTCAAGAATGCCATAAATGTTCCTTGATCACTTGCCAATAATACTCTGTTCTTTCAGTTATAGACAGGATTTAGGTTCTCTTATTCTCACGTGGTCTACTTTGCACCTGGATAAAATTTGGTTGGAGGTGGTGGAGGCTTATTCAGAGTTTTTCTCCAGATTCGATTTATATCCTATAGGATTTAGACCTACAAAGAATTCACCAGAGTGGTAAAACAAGTAAGGAAACAGCACATTTGGTGAGCTCATGAGAGGGACCTGATACTGCCTGGCAGTTTGGATTGAGGGAAAATGATAAGGATTCCCTTTCCATGGTAGGATGTGGTTGTCCCATCTCGCTGCTGAATGCAGATGCCACTCTAGGTGGTGGCCCTTCAGGGAAGTATGACTAACTGAGCAAGGTTGTTCTCTGTTGTGCTTTTGGAAGAACTGGGTATGGTCACCATGTTGAAAGAGCACATCTGTTTGGTCCAAGTGCCAGTGTCTGTCCATAACTACACCCACCCGTAATCCATTTAATTTCTGATTTAAATGCATTCTCTGACTCTTAGAGAAAGACTGTGCCCGGGGAGAAGAAAATTACCAGAGCGTCCACCCTCCGCCAAAACCTTTGGGCAACAGAGGACTTCTGCTTGTTTAGCGCATGACTTTAGAAAAACCCCCAAAGCTTGAAAATACTAATTTTTTCATTAAAGTGGCAGGAAATTCAAACCCAGAGTTTTAAACAGTGGTTTTCACATACTATTAAAAGCTCTGTAAGAAGCAACTTTTGGAATCAGGATGAAACCTAATTATAGAAGTTCTTTGCCATAGCTGTTTCTATTTACAGTATCTTCAAAACCACAGAAGCAAATATTGTAGACTTTCCTAACACATCAGCATCTTCTCGTCCTTAGGTTTCTGACTTCTTTGAAGCTGCTCTTAAATCTTTCCACTGAAATCACATTGTGGTTGAATATTCCCAGTTCAAGGACAATTTCAGCTTATAGTTTGTAGTCCAAGTGAACTATTCTTTCCTTAAAATACTGAACTTCAAGACACTTACACTCAAAGCAGACAAAAGAGTAAAGCCATTGTACCCAGGGTGCATGTTATCCAGGCTGTTTCGTGTGCAATTAATCTTTTTGTGATTGCTTGCTTCATCAGTAGCAACAAAACACAGAAGAAACATAGTCAAGAACATGAAATATCTGTTATGTTGTGATCTTTCCCACCACCAAATGCAGGGATAACATTTGGGATGATTTTTAAGAAAAAGAAAATTTTGAAAGTGAAAGTAACTGTCCAGAGCAAAAAATTTCAAGATATTGCAATGTCCAGCTGAATTGGATGTTTTTGTTCCAGTTTAAGAAGGCTCTGTAGCCAGCTTACCTGGTGGCAAGTGACTCAGTTGGCCTGGAGAGTCGACTGATTATGAAAGTCATTCTCTCCAGCGCCAGCCCTACAGACACACCCAAATAATCCTGAATTAATTGGTGCCCACCTACGCCATGATTTCCAGTCCTGGCTGCACATTAGGATCACCTGGGGAGCTTGGAACACTCCCTATGCCAGGTAATTAAATCAGGCCGATTAAATTACAATCTCTGGGGGTGTGGTCCAGTCACGAGTGCCTTTTAAAATGTCCCAGGTGATTACAGTGGGCAGCCAAGATTGTAAAACTCTCTGTCTAGAGAGCATCCGGCTGTGAGGCTCTGATTGCTTTGGCATTTCTATTTTTCATTTTACCCAGAATGGGGTAATAGGTGCCTAGGGCTCCCAGAAAGTTTTCCATGTTTAAAAAATCCCTGAATTGGCCAAACAAACTTATAGAAAGTGAGCAAAACACAAAACATATGTCTACCAAAGATTTGTAATCTCATAAATCTCAATTTTGTAATTTTGCATTTTTCTAAAAGCAAATTATATTGATATTATAGAAATAATTATAAAGAATTTAATTCACAGTTCCTTTGGGATTGTGGGAGAAAAGATATTCTTTAAAAAATATTTTTAATTGAAGTATAGTTGATTTAGAATGTTGTAAAGTTTCTGGTATACAGCAAAGTGATTCAGTTTCTGGTGTACAGCAAAGTGATTTAGTTACATATATATATTCTTTCTCGTATTCTTTTTCATTATGGTTTACTACAAGATATTGAATGTAGTGCCCTGTGCTATAAAGTAGGACCTTGTTTTTTATCTATTTTGTATATAGTAGTTTGTATCTGCTAATCCCAAATTCCTAATTTATCCCCCCACCCTCTTTCCTGCTTGGTAACCATATGTTTGTTTTCTATGTCTGAGTCTATTTCTAGTTTGTAAATAAGTTCATTTGTATGGTATTTTATATTGCATATATAAGTGATAACATATGGTATCTGTCTTTTTCTTACTTCACTTAGTATGGTAATCTCTAGGTCCATCCCTGTTGCTGCAAATGGCATTATTTCATTCTTTTTTATGGCTGAGTACTGTTCCATTGTAGAGATATATATATATATGTATGTATATTACATCTCCTTTATCCATTCATCTGTCGATGGACATTTAGGTTGCTTCCATGTCTTGGCTATTGTAAATAGTGCTGCTGTGAACATAGGGGTGCATGTATCTTTTCGAATTAGAGTTCTCTATGAAAATATGCCCAGGAGTGGGATTGCTGGATCACATGGCAACTTTTGGTTTTTTGAGGAACCTCCATATTGTTTTCCATAGTGGCCACACCAAATTACATTCCCACCAACAGTGTAGGAGGGTTCCCAAGAAAACATACTCTTATATATTTCTAAGGTGAGTGAAAACTGTAAAACTTTAAAATTAACAGAAACTACTACTGCTAAAGAAAATCGCTAATATTTAATGAATAACAATGAGCCAGGGATTGTTCTAAGTGCCCCATATATATTAACTCATTGGTCCTCACAACAATCAAGTGAGGAAAATATTGTGATTAACTCCATTTTCATCAAGGAGACTAAAGCACAGAGCCACCGAGTCATACATCTAATAAAGTGATGAAACAGGGATGCACACGCTGACAATCTAGATCTAGAACCTGTATTCTTAGGAACTCATAGAAAGGCAGGGAAATTTTATACTCTGTGTCCAAGTCTTAAATAGGACCCAATATATCAAAATTCTTCTTTCTGGAACTTGTCTTAAAAAATAACCATATAGGGAATTCCCTGGCGGTCCAGTAGTTAGGACTTCGCACTCTCACTGCCAAGGGCCTGGGTTCGATCCCTGGTCGGGGAACTAAGATCCTACATGCTGCGCAGCGCGGCCAAAATAAATAAATAAATAGATACATACATACATAAATACATGAATAAAATATTTAAAAATAACCAGACATACGTATAACCATGTCCTCTAGGAATAAAATAAAATATTGGGAAAAAAAGAGAAACAAGATGAAAATCCACTAATAGGTTGGTTAAGTTAACCATATTATAGCCATATAATGGGATGATATGTTCCTGTGAAAAGCCATGTTGTAGAACAGTTCTTCCCAACCCTTTCACATCATGACACATGGAGAAAATGACAGTATTTTTATAACATACTGGGGTAAACAGTAGAGTTGGCTTGAGGTGACTGGTTCTGGAAGCTGGTGGTACATGGCTAGGTAGTCACTGCAAAAGACTAAGGGATCATTATCTTGGCATGTTTACAGCTCATCACCAAAGATGAGTTAGAAAGTTCTCACGTATAGGAATATATTTTGCCATAGGAAAATGTTCACTAGATTTTGCTAAGTGAAGAAAACACAAACTGTAAGGAATTATGACATGTCCCAGGCTAATAACTCCATCAGTATGTACTGGTACAGATGGCCATACAGCCATACCAGTTGTTAAACTGTCAAAGGACCTCTATATCTGTTGGTAAATAGCCACTGCACCAAGACCTCTGCCACCACCACCACCATACACAGGGCTTCTCCCAAATATGGCAACCCTGGACCTCCTCAAGATAAAGTAACTGTGAGCTAAAGCCTTGGATAGGGATTTGGAAGGAGGGTTCAGGATCCTTATTCATTATCACCCAGCATTTGTTCTGACTGGTTGGTGAGCTATGCAGCTGTGCTGGCGATTCAGTGTTTTGAATATCACCTCTGTACATAAAAGCAATCTAGGTAGAGGAAAATCTTTCAAAGAATACATATTACAAGTGTTAATGTTTATTTTCTCCACAGTCTTCTGGATTTTCCACTCATTTCCTTGACCAGATACAAGTTTATAAATAGGAAAAGAAGATCAATATGTAAATAATGCTTTTAGAAGTAATCTTGTGATTATGGTTGAATCTGAGTCCTTCAATCCTGTTATTTATTTACAGAAGTGTCTTTGGCCTTCAAAGCAATGGAAGGTTCCTAAGTTGGCTACATGAAAGGTCCCACTGGTTGGGACTAACAGGATACTGGGTGTCAGTCACATCACCATGCTGACCTAAAGATAAGAGAGTCGTTTCCCCAATTTCTAGATACCTCAAGACATGCTCATATTCTTGTGGAACCTGGAGAAGGAGAGAGGCCTCCAGGAATAACTGAGATGGAGTTTCAAAGGCAAATTTATTTTGAATTAAAAACAATAAAGAACTATGGTCTAACTTCTGTTGCTGGGTTTGTGGACAAAAGTTTCACACAAGTACGTCCCAAAGGGAATTCTCTCCACACATTCAAATCACAGGGCTCTTCCAGCCTCTCCTGGGGCTGGGGCTGCGGTGAACTGGGCCACCATTATTTATGCCAAGAAGGCCACTGCTGCCTGAGCGACGCAGTTCAGTGTGGGTGGCCCCCGGTCTGCAGTGATCTCCTCTGCCTGGCCTGACGAAACACCACCTTCTCTTCTGTGTCTTTCATCTCCCCTGTTACAACTTCAGTGTGACTGTAAAGGGAACCCTTTAGTATCGTTATCAGCCCTTAACTCTAAATTGACACACAAAAAATATTTTCTGGCTTTTCCTGATCCTTTTAATAACGTGTGCAAAATCTGTTCTAGTGTCTGGCTCACTAGACACCCCAAAATATTACCATAGAGATAGTTATGCTCTTATCTTCTAGGAACGCTTATTTTCCTAGAAAATACTTCTGTGTGCTAAACTGGGAGAGTCTATGTTCTTACAAGATCCACCATGATCCAAACTGGCCAGTTATCATTCTTTTTCCTCTGGTCACAGTTAATTGGTATATGAATGGATATGTGACCCAAACCAAGCCAATTAGAAACCCTTTCTGAGTTTTTTATTTGTTTGGGGTGTGTGTGTGTGTGTGTGTGTGTGTGTGTGTGTGTGTGTGTGTGTGTGTGTGTGTGTGTGTACTTTACTGAAACTAAAAGATCCACTCCTCTTTTAGTTTGGGAAGTTATAACACATACAATTCAGGAGCTGTTAGTGGTCATAAGGCCAAGTCTCTGTCATAAGAAAAAGCTACTTTCATGTAAAAGAGACTGAAGCAGAGGCAAGAGGTGGTGGATGTCCTATAGCCTAATTTTATCCCTTCCCTTCTTCGCATTTTTAATAAACATATTCTTTGGAGTCCATGAACCAATGAAGTATTTTCCAATTTGCGTTTTTGGCATTTGGAACCTTAGGATTCTTGTTTCCTCCCTCTTTTACTCCTCAGTTTTCTTCCTGTCCTAGGATAAAGTCCTAAAGAAATTAGACTCAGCAAAGAAAGTTGTTCTGAGAAGTGAGTTGCAGAAAATTCAGAGGTGGGGAGCTGCTGGGAAAGGTAGCCCAGGGCAGCTGAGGGATGAGACCGTGGGAAGAAGAGGAGCCCTGAAAGATGTATCACGGACAGAGAAAAGAGTCAGCCGCTCGCTCGCAGAATCCTGCCTGAGGCACTGCTGCTCTGCTGTGGGGAAAGTGAGTCCCGGTTTGTTTGTTTGTTTGTTTGCAGTAGGCGGGCCTCTCACTGTTGCGGCGTCTCCCGCCGCGGAGCACAGGCTCTGGACGCGCAGGCTCAGCGGCCATGGCTCATGGGCCCAGCCGCTCCGTGGCATGTGGGATCCTCCCGGACTGGGGCACGAACCCGTGTCCCCTGCATTGGCAGGCGGACTTTCAACCACTCTGCCACCAGGGAAGCCCAAGTCCTGGTTTTTGTTTGCGGTGTTATTTAAAAGACCAGGAAAAGCTAGAAAAGTTTTTTGTGTACTTAGAGTTAAGGGCTGATAATGATACTAAAGGGTCCCCTTTGCCATCACACTGAAGTTATAACAGGGGAGATGAAAGACACAGAAGAGAAGGTGGTGTTTCGTCAGGCCAGGCAGAGGAGATCACTGCAGACCGGGGGCCACTCACACTGAACTGCGTCGCTCAGGCAGCAGTGGCCTTCTTGGCATAAATAATGGTGGCCCAGTTCACCGCAGCCCCAGCCCCAGGAGAGGCTGGAAGAGCCCTGTGATTTGAATGTGTGGAGAGAATTCCCTTTGGGACGTACTTGTGTGAAACTTTTGTCCACAAACCCAGCAACAGAAGTTAGACCATAGTTCTTTATTGTTTTTAATTCAAAATAAATTTGCCTTTGAAACTCCATCTCAGTTATTCCTGGAGGCCTCTCTCCTTCTCCAGGTTCCACAAGAATATGAGCATGTCTTGAGGTATCTAGAAATTGGGGAAACAACTCTCTTATCTTTAGGTCAGCATGGTGATGTGACACCCAGTATCCTGTTAGTCCCAACCAGTGGGACCTTTCATGTAGCCAACTTAGGAATTTTCTTGATGCTCCAAGACACAGTCCGTAGAGTTCATCCTCCTCTGGAGGACATGCAGCCATTCTTCTGTGAAGGCTTTCCACCTCTCTGCAGGTACTCTTGGGGTGAGGCAGAGGTCACTCTTGTTTGGTGAATCCAGCGATTTTTATGCCTCTCTATAAGGGAATCTTCTGTCCTTCCTCTTAGCTGTTCAGACTACCTCCCATCCTACTTGCTCCCCTTAGCAAAGCACTCTAAAAGAGCTTGGGCTTTTGGAACCCAAATTCCAGGAAAGGAGTGATTTTAACCACCTTCTGTTTTCCATCTGGAGTTCAATCCTTCCCTGTGACAGGAGAGAACAGTGAGACCCACCTGCTTGTCACAGGGAAAGAAATATGCAAAGAGAACTAAAGTAAATTTCCATCTCAATAAATATCTCATACTTTCCATTGTGAGCTGCTTTTCAAAAACTTTGGGAAGAAAAACCGAGTGTGCCGTTACAGTTGCCTTATATCTCTAATCCCTTAAAGCCCAGAATTTCTTCCCTGCTCTGGTGAGACAGACTGTCAGACTCTGCCTGAAGCTAAACCTCATGGTTAACTTGATATGGTCCTGACGTTGCTCTTTCTCTTTTTATTCAAGTATTTGTTATTGTGCAAAGACAATCATATATAGCATTTATGTAATAATGATATAGAAATTAAAATATTTTAGAGTCTGGTATTAGGTAATTAAAAAGATCTCCAAAACAATTTGTTTATTAAATCCTATACTTTGGGTTTCTGCTTTCTCAGTGAACGTGTATCTTCATAATGATTCAGTTTCTCCTGTCTGTTTCAGGCAGGCAGAGTTATGTACAAGGACCTACGTTGTATAGGAGGCTTGGAGGAAGAGTGGACATCAGATGCATCCCAGGAGTTTAACTTAAAACCTGCCTTGGGGGAAAGACTGGAAGAGTAAAACAGAAGTGAGCAGAAATGTTCTAGTTGGGTCTCCAAGGTGCATGCCTGAATAAGTGTGTGTGTGTGTGTGTGTGTTCGCATACATTCATACCTATAAAGAGAGAGTTATGTGCATAACACTATAAATGAGCCATAATTCCATAACCATACTCATTTTTGGACGTTCTCTAGGGTTATAAGTACACACACTTTCTCAATATTTACCTTTGAATGAGTGTATTGAATTAATGGTCTCAAAGGATATATTTGAACAAGGGAAGTGTCATCACAACACCTCACTAATTTGGAAGTTGTTTGTCAGACAACTGAATTATCTGTAACACAGCTAAGAGCGAAGAGCAAAACAAAACAGAAGTCTCAGGACACTTCAGCACTGGGCACTTTATTTATGAAAGCATCATTTTAGTCTGTTTGCCCTTATGTTACTTACAGTTCAAGTCAGCCAGGTTTTTTGGTTTCTTTGATGAAAGGACTTAAATTTTGGAGCCAGAAGGACTGGGCTTGAATTCAAGTAAATTAACCCTTCTGAAGCTGACTGAGGCTCCTTTTCTTCATCTGTAAAGCAGAAATAATGGCATCTAACCATAAAGTTATGTTATGAGAATTAAAGAACCTAACATATGAAAAGAATCTAATGAAACCTGATAGATACAAAGTATTCTTCAATCATGATTTCTTTTTTCTCCTTCTTTTCCCAGCCCACAGCAGATGGAAAGCAGGAGATTTTAAAGAGGCACAGAACAACAACAGCAAGAAATGAGAGGTCCTTCCTGACCGTAAGAGGTATCAAATAGAAAAAGCAGCTCAAAAACGCCATGATCCTTACTCACGTCTGAGGCCATCGGCGGGTCCCAGGAACCAGGAAAAGGTGAAACTATACTTAGCACATTTCTCAGAAGTTTGTGAGACAGGCCAGAGACTGTAGAACTACTTCTCCCCAAAATAAAGAAGATAAAGAGAAAATGTTGGGGGTAACTAGTAAAACCTTGCTCAGGATAGAGAAGAGCCGAGGTGAAGCTGAGGCGTCTGCATGATGAGAAATGGTTGTATTTGAAGAGCTCAAATTAAACTCCTTCCATGTAGCAGAGGCAGTGATCCCTTTCAGTAGAGGGCCAGATAGTAAATATTTTCAACTTCGTGAACCCCGTAAAGTGTCAGTCACATAATCTTCTTGTGTGTGTGTGTGTGTGTGTGTGTGTGTGTTTTGCCACACTTTAAAAATGTAAAAAACATCCTTAGCTCACATGATGTATAAAAAAAGCAAGCCACAGACCTAGCGCTGGCCCACAGACTATAGTCTGCTGACATTGAGCAATGACGTACTGTACAAGATTACAGTCAAGTGCCTTTTACAAAATTACATAAATTAATGGGTAAGGTGTATATGTCTGCATTCAGATCATCCCACTAGAAACAAAACTACACTGTCATTTTAAATAAATGCATTCATTGGGGATTACTTGTGTAAATTTCCCTCTACTTATAAACTGGATTTTTTAACCAGCCAAAGTGACGAATGTTGAAAGTAGGAGTCATATACACATCTGAGAAAAGAGTAAAAGCATATCACATAATAAGAGGCGGTATTTATTGTGAAGTTACTATGTGTCAGGCACTGAATTTGTAGTTGCTCTGGACTGAATTGTGTCCTCCCAAAGTTCAGATGTTGAAGCCCTAAACCCCTACTGTGACTGTATTTGGAGCAGGGCCACTAAGGAAGTAATTAAGGTTAAATGAGCTCATAAGAATGGAGCCCTAGTTCAGTAAGACTGGTGTCCTTCTAAGAAGAGGAAGTCACCCCAGGAGCGCCTGTACACAGAGAAGAGGTCGCAGCAAGAAGGCTGCTGTCCGCAAGCCAGGAAGAAAGTCCTCACCGGAAACCAGCTGTGCCAGCATGTTGATCTGGGGCTTCCAGCCTCCAGAACTTTGAGAAAATAAGCGTCTGTTGTTTAAGCTACTGGGCTGCAGTATTTTGTTGGGGCAGCCTAAGCAGACTACTACAGCACTATTTGAGTTAAATCCTAAGATATCCTTTAAGGAAGGTGTTATGACTATCCTTACAGAGAAAATCTAGAGGCAGAGAAAGGTTAAATAACATGCCCAAACTTGTCTAGTTAGTCAGTGGCAGAGATGGGATTTGAACCCAAGCAACATAATCCAGGGCTTGTATTCTTTCAACCAAGGTGAGCAGGTGACATTGATGCTTTTCTCTGCTTTTTATTAAGGATGGCTTCCCACTTAATGAAACAAAACCCATAGGAATTACTAACTAATGTAGAACAGTGGTGCTTACTTTAGCACATGACCACCTGATATAGAGGGCTTCTCTATATCTTAATCATACAAATTTCACTGCTTCCAAAAGGAGCAAAACAAAGCAGAGCTCAAATAGCCTATTGCTCGGCTGGGTGGTTGTTGGAATCTGCCCAAGCGAAGAAGTGTGAAGCAGATTTTATTTCTCTCCTTATGCCTTACATAATATATACGCACTTACAATGTACACCATGGCCACTTTAGTATAGACATTTTTATATAAACCATTTGTTTTTGCAAAATGTGATGTATACTAAAGATTAATTTTCCAAAATAAACTGGTCTTCCAGAATTTTATAAACGTGAAGGGGATAAAGCAGACATACCCATGCGAGCCAGCCTTTATCTTGGCAGTCCTTTTTCATCCTCCCTCTCTCTCCTCTGTTGCTCCTGGTCTCTGAACTTAGAATCCAGCTTTGGCTAATCCTCAGCAGTGTTGCACTAGAGAAATGCTCAGACTTCGATATTAACCCTGAACTGAATTAAATTATAACTGATTACACAGTTGAACATTGTTGCAGTGATGGGAAAACCATGGCTAACATGGGCAGGAATTATCATTAAAGGGTCCCCATGCTGTCAACTCTTCTGCTTACTTGCTCTGCAGTTTCATAATCAAAAATGTAACCTACATGGTCTCGAATGGACTCATCTGAATATTCTGAATGAAAAATGCCAAACCAGAATGCCTCAGGAGAGTGAGCAAAAACTCCACGTAACAAACTGGCCCTCTTTGGACCAGTAATAGATAAAATCACATTCATTTTATTGAGTCCCCAAGAGCTTGTAATTTTAGTCATATAGAAATGGCTTTCTGAAATGTCTAAGCAGGCATCTTTTATTACTTTTCTATAAAACATTCACTGAATACTGATGATAAATATTCAGTTGGATTATTGTGGAAACAAAGCCTGAAATGTAAGTATTAGACTTCATCATTTATTAGAAAAGGAGAACATTTTTGAGAAACCTTAATTACGTAAGCCTGACTGACTAACCCAGTACAAAAGTAATTAACTTTATCATTTTTTTCTTCCATTCTTACCTTACAAGATTGATATTCAAAGATGTTAAATCTGTGATGGTTGTCCTTTGATGCTGAAAAGCAATGGAGCTGTGTGACTGTTGTGTATGTGTGTAGAGTTAAGCGTAGCTTGTGTTATTGATAGTATCAACAATAAGAACCAATATTTTTTCACTCAACTACCAATCCTTAAGAAGCACCAAAAATGTGTTGAGCTACTTAGCTAGCTACTTATGATATACCGGTAAATAAAGCAAGGAACTCTGCCCTTGGGGAGCTTACTTTCTACAGGTGGGAAATAAAAAATGAGCAATGAGCATGACAAATAAGTAAATCCTATTGTATAAGACGTTTTGGAGGAAGGTTCTAGATAATTGAAAATGGCCCACGGCAGGGCTTGGTGTTTTGAGGAAAAATAAAGTGGCTGGTCTGATGCTGGAGTGCTATGAGCAGGGGGAAATGGCAGGAAATGAAGTAGAAGATGAGACTGAAAAGGTGGCAGGACAGATCAGGTAGCACATCGTAGGATGAGTTACGGCATGGGATTTGATTGGATTGGATTTGATTTATAGTGTGATGGGAGGGAGCTATTAAAGGGTGCTCAGTGACAGGTGATGTAATATAACTCACATTTTAACTGGATCACTCTGACTCCTTTGTGAGGAAGACCTTAAAGGGTCAGTGGAGTGAAAAGGGGCTCATTTAGGCAGCTGTGCTGGGGTCCAGGGGACTAGAGGGGCAGTGGTGGAGATGTGGTCAATTTTGAATATAGTTTGGAGAGAAGCCAACAGGCTTTTCTAATATGTGAGGAGTAAAATGAAGAAATATTACTCAGCCATTAAATAAAAAAGAATCTTGCCATTTGCAGCAATAGGATGGACCTAGGGGTCGTGGTGATCATTTTGTAATGCACAAAAATATTGAATCACTATGTAGTAACCTGAACCTAACATAATATTGTAGGCCAATTAATAAATAAAATTAAAATGAAAGGAAAAAATATGAATTTATCTGTAATAAAAATCACCTTCCCTTTGGCGTAGGGAAGGGGCATGGAGAAGAGAAATGTAGTAATCCTTCTCATCCACGTTAATTATGACCACAAGCCCAGGGAACTATACATCCACAGAAAAATGTGGGCAGCACTTTAGTATCATGCAATTTTCAGGGACAGCCTTGTCTTTTTGAATTCATAAAGAAATAGACCAAAAAGGCAGGGTGAGTGGTAGTGTTCAGTTTTGCCTTTTTCAAGGATAATAAAGTTTTAGATGCTTGACCAAAACAATGTGTTTGGTGGATGTGGCCCTGGAGCCTATATTCAGGCTACAAGTCCATCTTCTTTTAACACTGACACTATCCTAAAAGTATATTAACTTGAACACATGACACCTTTGGAGAATGGAAAATAGATTTTTGTGTTTGGCCTAGTAGGAGAGTGACACAAATGAAACTAGAAAGACCAGTTGGAAATTTTGCAGCTATAAGACATGCAGTTTTAATGCCATGAATGCTAGGTCACCAGAGGGTTTTAAACAGGAGAACAGCATAGAGAGATCTGTTCTAGAACAATCCCTCTACTGAACTAACAGATTACATATTTATACCCATGCTTTTCTTTCTAAATTTTCTTGTAAGTGACCTCCTGTCTACTAGATGATGAGCAATAGCCAACTGCCTGCCAGAGGAGAGTTTGGGTTGGTATACCAGAAATGCAAAGAGGCAAAAAAGTAAAATTTGGTGTTTCTTTTTCTCCAGAATAGTTCTTTGAAGTTCACCAACCCTCCCATCAATACTTTTGAAAGACAAAACAAGTTCCTTTGCAAAGGTTGTATTTTATGGAAAGAAGGTAAGAATCTTGAGACTCAACAGCAGGACCTTATTAAGGCAAGGACTAAAGTTTATTTAAAAACTTTAAACTGGAATAAGGGCAGGAGTACACAGTAAGAGTCACTTCCACTGAGATGAGGTGTCCTAGGAGAGGAGACTTGGATGGATTGGTATTTTGGAGGAGGGCAGGGCCAGAGAGGGTGCCTGACTGTGGGAATGCAGTGGTTGTAGAGGTGATTGTTTGGGTGCCTGATCACCAAACAGGGGTGATTGTTGGGGTGGGGAAGCTGGGTGGGTGGTTGGCCACATGCAGACGAATGGAGTTGGAGCAGAGAGTCAAGCACAGCTGTCTCCAGTTCCACTGAGCGAAGACAAAGCCCAAGAACATCCACCCCAGGTACTGAGCAGCACAGCTCACCCGTGCTGAGAAGCCACGCTGCCTATTCTCATTGCTCTTAGAAAGGCCATCCATTGACATGGCGTTACCTGGATCTACCTGTCTGTGCATCACTGGAGCCAAAATTTGCCATTTGCACTGCACTATCTGGACTTTTTCTTTCAGTAGGTTAAAGTACTCATAGGCCCTTGGGTACAGAGTATGGAATCCTTGAGGAATTAGTGCTGATGAGCAAGGGAACACTCCCCTCCAACCCCAGCACCTAAACTCCGGGTCAGTCAGGACAGTGGTGTTAACTCAGCACCACTCCCTTCCATGGCCACTGTGCTCCCTTTGGACTGCAGTAATGGGGAGTCCGGTTAAGAGGCAATGAAGGCTTGAACTGAGGCACGGGCACACCGGAGAGGCCACATTTTCAGAAAAACATGTTTCAGGTTTGCAGTTTACCAATTTCAGGAATTTTCCCTTGAAGATTTTAAAACCTAGGCTGCTTTCCCCTACTATCCATGTAATATGAAATAGCTTTTACATTGGCATGGGAATT